CCCCTGCACCCGCATGGGAGACTCAGAAGAAGCTCCTGGCTCCTGGCTTCAGATCAGCGCAGCTCTGGCTGTTGCAGCCAATTGGGGAGTGAACCAGTGGATGGAAGACCTCTCTGTCTCTCTCTCTGCCTCTCTCTGTGTAACTCTTTCAAATAAAATAAATAAATCTTTTAGAAAAGTGAATAACTTATTTAATTAAGGCAGTGTCTGGCAATAGTGTATCGTTCAATAAGTGTTAGTAATGTTGTATTCCATTGACTGGATGTAACACATTTATTTTCACAATTAGACATATGTTTATAGTTCTGTTTTGTAAGTCAAACTGTAGTGAACATCCTTGTGCCTTGTACATATTTGTGATCCTTTCCTTTGGCTAATTTCCTAGAAGGGAAAATTCCTGGACCAAAGGTGGAGAACCAATTTCAGACTTGTGACACATATTTCTTAATTGCCTAGGAAAAAATTATATCACTTTATACTACCGCCAGCAATGTATAAGAGTGCCAGTTTCCCAGCACACTTGCCAATGGTATGTCTTCTTACTTTATTTGCCAACTTTGTGAGTGAAAATGGCATCTCAAAGGTTACTTTGCAATACCTTAATGACTAGAGATGCTTAACTTTCCCTACATTTTAGTGGCCACTTGTATTTTTTTCTTTTAGGAAGGATCTCTTGTGATTCATTTCTTTAAGGCTGATTTCCTTCCTTCTCATTCCTCTATTGTCCTAATGCCAGGTGGATGCAAAAATAAGATAAACACAGGAGTCAAAGCAAAAATAAGGTAAAGCCAAGAGGCAGAGAATTCAGATCTTCTAATCTCTTCTGGGCCTAGCTTGGCAATGCTATTTTCAGACTTTGCTCCTGACCATGACCTCAAATGATTTCACCTCTCTAGGTCGCGGTTTACTAATCTGTCAAAGGTTAATGCTTAAGGATTGCTGTGCATCAAAACATTATCAGTCCCTGTGTTTTTTTTGTTTTTGTTTTTTGACAATCAGAGTAGATAGTGAGAGAGAGAGACAGAGAGAAAGGTCTTCCTTTTGCCGTTGGTTCATCCTCCAATGGCTGCCACGGCTGGCGCGCTGCAGCCGGCACACCGCGCTGATCCGATGGCAGGAGCCAGGTGCTTCTCCTGGTCTCCCATGGGGTGCAGGGCCCAAGGACTTGGGCCATCCTCCACTGTACTCCCTGGCCACAGCAGAGAGCTGGCCTGGAAGAGGGGCAACCGGGACAGAATCCGGTGCCCCGACCGGGACTAGAACCCGGTGTGCCAGCGCCGCAGGTGGAGGATTAGCCTAGTGAGCCGCGGCGCCGGCCAGTCCCTGTGTTTTTATAATACGCTTTTGTCTTCTGCTCTACTGTCTCTCGATATCCTCGGTGCAAAATTGTAATTCCATTTCACAGACAAGTGAGACACAAGTGGACATGGGCTTCCTGATTCCTGGGCTGGTGCTTTTTGTTCTACACAGAGAGTCTTCTGCCTTTCAGTTTATCTCCGTCCTGCCCCACATTACCACCCGCATACACTGATTTGCTTCCTATTCCTCCTTTGAACCCGCAGAGGCTGTGGGGAATTGAAGATGAATCAGACTTGGTCCCCAACTGCTCAAATATAGGGAATAAGACATATCAACAGCAACAAGAAAGGATAAATGAGGAAAGAAAATGATTCATACCCTATGTGGGACACAGAAATCGTGCTATATGAGGTAACAGAGGAAGCAGTTTTCCCTTCTATTTGGAGGGATTTAGGGTGTATTTCTGGAAGAGACGCTTTTGAGCTAAGGTAAGAGAGAAGACACATGGAGACACATGGAAAACTGTGGCAGTGGCAGGTGCTTTAGGGTAGAAGTAACTCTGCTCTCCCCTGCACGTACTGCTAGATACCACGCTAGGGTTTTGTGCTGTTGGAAATACTCTTTCCTCAGTTCTAGAAGGCACGCATAAGCCCTTCCAGGAGGATTCAGGGCAGAGAACACTTTTTCGCTTGGGCAGAAATAAAGGCTTTAAAAACATGTGGGAGGGGGCTGGTGTTGAGGCGTGATGGGTTAAGCCATTGCCTGCGACCCAGGCATCCCAAATGGGCGCTGATTCAGTCAGCCCCGGCTGTTGTGGCCATCTGGGGAGTGAACCAGTAGATGGAAGATTTCTCTCTCTCTCTCCCCCTTTCTCTCTGTAACTCTGCCTTTCAAATAAATAAAATAAACATCAGAATTCCAGCATGAAAGCTGGACAAGGTCCATGCCTGATCCTCATTTATATCCCATATATTTTTAACACAGTGATAGGCACAGAGCTGGCACTCAGTGAATGTTTTCTGGCTTGGTTTATTGAATAGAATTCCAATAAGGTAAGTGCACAATAAGGTAAGTCCTCAATTTTGTTGGTAGAAATCTTAGGAGGCAAAAACAGAATGGCTTTGGGTAGACATATGAGTGAAATGATGTATGCACAATGTTAGTATTTGAAGTCAGACTTGAAATGGCAAAATATTGCAAGCAACCTAAATGTCTATTACTAGAGCACTAGTTAAATAAATGATTGTGTATCCATACAGTTGAATTCCATACAACTATTCAAAAAAGAATTAAGAACTCTTTTTGTGCCCAAGTGAAATGGTCCCTTGAGATATTTTTAAGTACAAAGAAAACAAGAAAAAAATCAAGGTGGTTAGTCCGCATTTATATAAAACAGGAGAATATGTGTTTATAGTTGCAATAAAATAGCTTTCAAAGTATACAAATTAACCTGCTACCCTTGGAGAAGGGAACTGAATAGTCAGAGGTGAGAAAAATCTCTCCATTCCTTTAGCATTTTCCCTCTTCTTAAAAATAAGACACAAAATATACTTACCAAAAAGGCATAAAGCATTACACAAAGTATATTGAATTGTTCTACAGCAAGTCCCCATATAATCACTGCTCAGCTGGAGAAACACAATTATTACCCACACCACAAAAGTCTCCTGTTGTCAATAGGAGCTAGAGTTTTTAAACTGAATATCGTTTTTTATGTTTAAAAATATTTATTTATTGGCCAGCGCCGCGGCTCACTAGGCTAATCCTCCGCCTTGCAGCGCCGGCACTCCAGGTTCTAGTCCCGGTCGGGGCGCCGGATTCTGTCCCGGTTGCCCCTCTTCCAGGCCAGCTCTCTGCTGTGGCCAGGGAGTGCAGTGGAGGATGGCCCAAATGCTTGGGCCCTGCACCCCATGGGAGACCAGGATAAGTACCTGGCTCCTGCCTTCGGATCAGCGCGGTGCACCGGCCGCGGCAGCCATTGGAGGGTGAACCAACGGCAAAGGAAGACCTTTCTCTCTGTCTCTCTCTCTCACTGTTCACTCCGCCTGTCAAAAATTTATTTATTTTATTAGCAAGACAGATTGACAAAGAGAAAGAGACAAATAGAATGAGATCTCTCATCTGTAGGTTCACTCTCCAAATGCCTGCGACAGCTGAGGTTGGGGCAGACCAAAGCCAGGAGCTGGAAATTCAATCCAGGTTTCCCACGTGGGTGGCAAGGACCCAAGTACTTGAACAATCACTGCTGCGTTGCAGGGTACACATCAGCAGGAAGCTGAAACCCAGAACAAAACCCAGACATCCCCGATGTGAGATGTGGATGTCCCAGCCAGCGGCTTAACCACTATACAAAATGCCTTCCCCCTTTTGTACTTTTTGAATTTTGAATATGTGTACATATTACGTAGTTAACAGCGGCTACTTCCTCCCTCCCTCCTCATTGGTGTGGTAGCTTTTCTATAGCCAAACAAATAATAATAGTCAAAATTTACTCTGTTCCATATATATATATAAGAAATCTGCATTCACTAACTCATTCAACTATTCCATACATTAACTAAGAAACCCACATACACTAACTCGTTCAACTATTCCATATGTTAACTAAGAAGTCTGTGTAGGCCGGCGCCGCGGCTCACTAGGCTAATCCTCCGCCTTGCAGCGCTGGCACACCGGGTTCTAGTCCCAGTCGGGGCGCCGGATTCTGTCCCGGTTGCCCCCCTTCCAGGCCAGCTCTCTGCTGTGGCCCGGGAGTGCTTGGGCCCTGCACCCCATGGGAGACCAGGATAAGTACCTGGCTCCTGCCATCGGATCAGCGAGGTGCGCTGGCTGCAGCGTGCCGGCCGCGGCGGCCATTGGAGGGTGAACCAACGGCAAAAAGGAAGACCTTTCTCTCTGTCTCTCTCTCACTGTCCACTCTGCCTGTCAAAAAAAAGAGTCTGTGTATACTAACTCATCCAATCGTCACAACAAGCCTATGAAGTAGTTACTATTATCTTCACCATGTGGATGAGAAAACAGACAGAGACAGTGAGTCACTTGTTCAGTCATAATATGAACCCGTCGTGAGGAGCTAGGATATGTATCCAAGAAGCTGTGTCCTGGAATAAGTTCTAGAACCCAGTCTCTGAGGCACTGTAGTCACTGACCTCTAGCAAGTGGAGATTTTTGGCTACGGACCACCAGGCGGGAGTCCAAGCACCAATTCATTTGCACTACTACCCAGGCAAGGAAATCAAGAATGCACAGGATGCGTGAGACCCAAGGTCTGGGGCAGCACCAGGCTGGAAAACCCTGCAAAGCGAGTGAGTCCAGTTCTTGTCCATTCTCCTAATCTGACTTCAGACTTTCTCCAGTGCCTAGTACTCATTAAATATTTTTTGAATGACTGTGTAAGTTCTTTCTGCCTGAAAACTGGAGAAGTCTAGGAACCTATGCTACCAGAAGACATGCAGAATTGGACAAGGATGGCCACTGCAGGGTTTTTTTTCTTTTTACCCAGTAGCAAAAATCTGCAATCAACACAAATGTCCATGAACAGGGGCCTGGTGAGTGGCCTCTGTCAGACAGGTGGCACAGCGTGATCATTAAGGACACGTGAGTCAGCAAGCGCACTTACCAGCACGGATTTGGGCAAGCTCCCTAATCTCACTGTGCTTCAGTCCCTACAACGCTAAAACAGGGATAAGGAAAAGACCTACCTTGTAGCCTTGTTGCAAGTTCATTTATAGTTTCTGGCCTTTAGTAAGCGAGTCAAATGTTATCTATTGTGGTTGCCTCTCACCCAAGGGAATATTCTGTAGCTGTGAAAAAGAAAGAGGTAGGCCTATCTGCACTGTTTTAAACAGATATCAAAAATAGATATTTTGGGTAAAAGAGCTAGAATACTATGTCCAGTAGTACTCCAACTTCGTAAAAACATTTTCAAAAAGTGCATGTGCAGACAACAAGCCTAGACAAACAGACATCAGCATTTGGACTCTGCTATTTACTTTTTAAAATAACAAGCATTTATCGTTCTTGGGGGAAAAGCAATCATGGAAACAGGGAAGACTTCTAGGAAAGAGAGATTCAGAGAAGATCAGAAAACAGGAGGAGGCCTCCTTCCCATGGGCTCCGGGTTTCTCTCCCTAATCCAAGGTGACACTGTGAGACTGTCCTCCCTCTCAGAGCATTGCCTTTCTACCTGATGGTAGCACACCAAGAGAGGACACACACATTACATTGGTACCCAACTTTGTCATGTGTTCCTAAAATAATTCCTGCAATGTAGTGAAAAACCAAAGCATGCACCTCACGTAATGAATAAATCCGAGAAACCCACATTGTTGGGCTAGAGAGGACCTCCAAGATCATCCAGGCCATCCTCCTCACTTACAGATGCAAACAGGGAAACCTGTTCCTGAGAAGTTAGCTGTCCAGGAATTTTGAGAAATAAAATGTACTTTCCACTAAAAAAAAAAAATGGAGATGCAATCCCATGGGTGAGAATTTCGTTCAGAGAGCCAATTAATGTAATAAACCTGAAACCTTTATGGAATGCTTGGGGAGTGGAAATTAGTTAACCATTTTGGAGATGTGACAATATCTCCCCGAAGGTGATATGCTACACTTTGTGAGGAGACAATTCCACCCCAGAAATCTAGATAGAAACAGTCACCTCGGGGCAGGCATTTGGTGCAGTGACTTGGGACATCTGCATCCCACATCACAGTTTGAGTCCCCTGGTTTGAGTCCTGGTTCCTCTCCTTCTGATCCAGCTTCCTGCTAATGTATGCTCTGGGAGGCAACAGATGACGGCTCAAGTATTTGAGTTCTTGCCAACCCAGATTGAATTCTGGGCTCCTGGTTTTGGCCTGGTTCAGCCCTGGATGTTTCTGGCATTTGGGGAGTAAATTGGCAGATGGGAGATCTCTCTCTGAGTCAACCTCTCTCTCTCTCTCTCTGCCTTTCAGATAAAAATGAAAATGCATTTTAAAAGATAGAATTAAAAGATAAATCGTTTTGAAAAAAGAAATAGTTATCTAAGAATATCTACACAATCGTGATCATAGTAGCCCTAACTGTGATAGCCCCAAAATGGAAATCGCATACAGGCCCATCAATAACAGAATGGGAACATACACTGAAGTATACACACTAAATGAATATACAGTAGTGAAAAATGAGTCAACTAGAGTCGTATGTTACAACATGAATGCACGTCACAGATATAACTGAATAGAAAAAACAAGTTTCACAAGAATATATGTAATACACCATTGACACAAACTTTTAAAACATAGAAAGCAATAGCGTATCATATTTAAAGACATATTGTATATTTGTATATGTATATGTGTGTGTGTGTGTGTGTGTAGCAAACAAGTAAATAAATGCCTGGGAGTAATAAACACCACATTGAGGACAGTGGTTACTTTGCAGGAGGGAGCTTTAATCAGGGAGGATAGATGGGAATTTTCAATTCTCCTGGTGATGTGTCTTTTTAAAGCTGGTGGTAGGTACCCTGATTTTCACAATATCACTCTTTATATCCTTTTGAGTGTACAAAATATTTCATAACACATGGTTTAAATAAATGCAACAGAGCCCATGCTGAAAGAAAAGTTGATCGATTTTGGATATAACAAAATACTAAAAGAAAGGCAGTAAGAGATCTGCATCCCACACCAGAGGACCTAGGTTCAGTTCCTGGCTCTGGCTCCTGACTTCAGCTTCCCGCTAACGCAGACATGATGGGAGGCAGACATGATGACTCAAATAACTGGGTTCCTGCCACCCTTGTGGGAGAGCTGAGTTGCATTTCTGGCTCCTGGTCCTGGCTCTGGGCCTTGCCCCAGGTGTTGTTGGTATTTGGGGAATGAAACAATGGATGGGATCTCTCTCTCCTCTCTCTCTTTGTCAAATACATAAATAAAATTTCAAAAATATTAACAGAAATGTCTGAAACACAAATGCTGCACGCAGAATAAGAGTATTCCTGAAACCTGCCCCATTTTCCTGAGACTAATTTGATGGGAGGGACCTTGCTGGAGAAGTAGCAGTTGGGCGCAGTGGGTAACCAGCAGACAGTCTCCGATACTCAACAGCTATGTATGGGAAGGAGAGCAATTGATTAACCTCTGGGGTTTTTCATATTTAAAAACATAGTGCTGGACTAGACTATTTTACAAATTTTTGCCATGAGACTATTCCTTCCATCTTTTTTTTTAATGAGAAATGATTCCCAAAACTGTATCTGCAAGATGTTAAAAATATTTTCCATGTAGAAAAATGTTCCCTGGTCACATGAGTTTGAGACATACCAGGCTAGGTCACATCAGTTTAGGATATACTGGGCTAAAGAGTATTTCAAAGTACAGCACAGCAGTACTTCCCAGAGCCTTGAATATTCTTATCTACACTGTGCCTGTCCACAAGGAGAATTCCGTTAAGAAGCATTTCCAAAACATCACTGGACCATATACAACACACAGCGCTCCCTGATCTCCAATCCAACACACGTTTTAAAGAGAACCTACCAATATTCTGCAAGGACAGTGATCTGAAGAACACTGGGCTGGTAAAGGCCATCCTGGAAGGGTTTACCTGCTATTCTAGCTGCCGATGTACGCTCAGACTCTTTTGTAAGAAAGGAATGTACTTTCATAATACGATTTCCTCGGAGTGGTTTTCCTCTGCGTGAGAGCCTCTGGTACGTGAAGAAGGCTAACGTCTCTGGCTTCATCAGTGGGACCTCATCGTCGCTGGCATTGTGGGAGATCCAGCATCAGACCCTTGTGAGCATCTGTGCTTAGGAAGACTGCAGCCCAGATGTGCTGTCTGCGTCCCACTCCTGGGCCTGCCCTAAGTTTGCTATCTCGTGTCATGCCGTCCCTCCCCGTTCGATGATGGTGGCCAAGCTGCAGGGTGCGCCACTCCAGAGCTCAGAGCTGCTTGTCTGGAGCTGAATGCCTGGAGGCAGCAGTCTTATGGGGAGAGCAGTGCTCGCTGTGGCCTCCATCGCCCGGGCACAGCGCGCAGGCAGCAGGACTGCGGGGCAAGGGTCCACCCACCCAGACCAGGAGGGGTTCCGTCCTCTCTCAGGGACAGGACAGCTCCTCGGACTTCCAGCACTGCCCTTTTGTGAGGCTCTCCCAAGAAGGCCCTGAGACTGTCTGGAGCCATCTCCCCACCCAAATCTTACAGGGAAAAGCTCCTGACATTTATGGTTCCTGTGGTGCCTTTTAGACAAGATCAGGCGCGATCAGGGTGGCACGGCCATAAACCCATAGGGCCTTTTAAAGGGTGACCCACACGAGGGCCTTCCATGTAGACACAAGGCTTCCTCTGGAAGAGTCAGGAGCTGAGGTGAGATAGGCACGGAGCTTTCGAAAGGCTTTTGTTCTTTCAAACACCCGAAGAGAAACATCAGAGAAAACCATGTTCTTTTGCAGACAGCATGCTCGCAGTGGAAGGCGGTGGCAGCTGCTGCTGGCAGCCCTTCTCCACCCGGTTCCACCCCAGCCCAGCCCTGCTCCAGCCTGGCCACCCAGCACAGCACCCAGGACTCCTGGCTCTCCCTGCCTACCCAAGGAAGGTGAAACCTTAACCACCCGTACAGTCTCAGGCCCACTTGCCAGGCTCCGGTGCTTGGCCTGAGGCTGGGAACTGTAGGGCGAGCAGAAGTGATCGGGGTGCTGGACTCCAAGAGAAGTGAGCCCTGTTTCAGTCCCCCCCCCTCCAGCCATGCTCTCCAGAGCGGAGTGATGCCTCCTGCTTCCGAGGCACAGAAAGGAAACTGAGGAGAAGGCATGGGGCAGGGGGAGGGGGCGGGGGAAGTGGGGGGGGAGCGGGCGGGGAGGGGGATGCCATAGGGCAAAAGAACAGAGCCAGGAAGGCAATGCAGAGGTGAGGTGAGTGCTTCAGCCCCAGGTTCTTAGGTCAGAGCCAGGTTTACTTCGGGGCAGAACTCCCGTGTCCTGTGTCTGGCCAAAACACTCATATGCCCAGGAAAGCTGCTCCCACTTCCCACCCACCCTCCAAAACACACACTCCTTCCTTCCCAGCCAATGCCTTCCCCACAGCGTCCCCTCCCGCTGGGAAATCTCTCCGTGGACAAAAAGCCTGTCATTGAGCACCTGAAAGAAAGAAATAAGCACCCCTCTCATTTCAAAGCCACACACTGTGATCCTTCCTCTTATCCAATTTTATCCCTTAGTTGCTCAAATTGGCTTGAGTTTCAATGCCTGGGAAGCCTGGCTTTTCTTTACGAATCCAAAGCGGTGGCCACTTCATTGTGAGCATTTTTTCATGCAAGTTTTCCTCCAAAGGCGCGCGCGCGCACACACACACACACACACATACACACACATGTGCACACACAGGCATGTGAGCACACACACATATGCACCCCACAGCCACACAGCACCTCTGGAGCTTCCCCTCCGTCAGTGATCTCTCGGCCAGCCGAACAAGGGCGAGGCTTCCAAAGGATTTCTCTGTGGCCTACCTTCTGATTCCGGCAGGTCTGGGAAGCAGGCGGTAGCTGGCAGCTCGGAGGCCAGGGCTGGGCTGCCTTTGTGAATCAGCAAAGAAGTCCCTGAGACAGGGATGCCGACAGCTGCTGTGTGCACACTCTCCCTCTGTCTCTCCCACCTCCCTGCCCTCCTTCTCCTTCTCCTCCTCCTCCCTCTCGGAGCTGCTCTGTGTTGCTATGCAATCATCACCAGGACTAACAGCATCACAGCGACCTCAGGCAAAGACACCCTTGACTGGGCAAACGCAGGAAGAGCAAGGACAGTTTTGCAAAACTACCAGAGCCGCCGTGGCTCTCGGAGATTTCAATTCATCAGAAGCAGAGGAGGAAAGCCGGAAGAACCAGAGAAAGCACAGGCGGAGAGGGGGAGAGGGAGAGATGGGGAGAGGGGGCGAGGGGGAGAGGGGGAGAGGCTTCCACTGGGGAGGAGGAGACAAAGAGCCCTAGAGATCAATACAAGCTGCTGAGCTGAGCGAAGAGCCTGGGCCCAACTCACACAGATCCAATCCAGAGCCCAGACCAACTTCAGAGCCAGGAGCTGGCAGGGGACCGCTCGCTAGGCAGCCCAGAATTCAGTTTCTGTGTTGGGGGTTGAAGCACTGTGCTCTAGAATCTTTGCTGGTACTTCAGGGCAGTCTGCCCATCACCCCTAAGATCTTCACCCCCTCTTAGGTCTTATGTAGGAAAAAAATTCTCAACAAGTGGTGGGGTTGGGGGGTGGAGGGGGGGACAATAATGGGCCCGGAATGAATGGAGAAAAGTACAAACTCTCCCAGGCTGTGACCTCAGTCACCCTCCCTGCTTTTGTCCCCGCCAGCCCTTAAACACTTTTAACTGTCAGCTTTGTTAAGAAGAGGCTAGGAGCGCTAAACACCCAGAGGGAGCCTGGAGGAGCCACTAACAGGGTGGGGGATATTGCATCCCTTCACCGAGTGCCCAGCACACAGTGGGTCTCTCAATAAATACAAGTTGAATGAATAAATTGAATGGGTGGAGCCCCCGACCCCATCCTCCCACAGCCCCAGCAGCTCCAGACCAGAGCAAAGGATAACAGAAGCATCTTCTTTCCTCCCTCTGTTTCTGAGACCACAGTGCATATGGGAGAGGGAGACAGTGGTTTAGGGATAGGTTGCTTAACTTCACCCATCTGCCTGGAGATCCACTACACACTCCATGGCACTGGAACTTACAACAGAAAATAGTTCTTGGCCCATAGGGTCTGGGAATAGGGTTTACAAAGTAGCTAAAGGATTGAGCATTATCATTACTATTATTATATTATTATTTTTTAGAGTTGCATTTTTAAACTGTTATGTGATATATTTTTCAAAGAAAATGTTTTTAGTATCTACTTTTTTCAGATTAATTTTATGTATTTGAATGGCAGAGTGGCACAGAGAGAAAGAGGAAGAAATCTTCCACCCACTGGTTCACTCCCCAGATGGCTGTGATGGTGGAGCTGAGTCAGGTTGAAGCCAGCAGCTCAGAACTCCATCCTGGCTGATCTCCACTGTGAGTGGCAGGGGCCCAAGCACTTGGGCCATCTTCCTGCTGCTTTTCCAAGCACTTTAGTAGGGAGCTGGCTTGGAAGTGGAGCAGCTGGGACTGGACCGGTGCTCACACAGGACGCTGGCATCGCAAGTGGCAGCGTAACCTATTGTCCACAGTGCCTGCCCCTATTAATTCCTCTTAATTGACAAATACTATTTATGTATGTTTATGGAGTACAATATGTTTTGATCTATGTATACATTATAAAAAGATTCAGTCCAGCTAATTAACATATATATATCACCTCACCAACGTATCATTTTTGTGGTAAAGCGAATCAGTGGATAGAAGATCTCTCTCTCTCTCTCTCTCTCTCTCTCTCTCTCCCCCCCTTCTGTCTCTCTCTGTAGCTCTGGCGTTCAAATAAGTAAAAAATCTTTTTAAAAATCTATTCTTTGGGGCTGGCGCTGTGGCGCAGTGGGTTAATGCCCTGGCCTGAAGTGCCGGTATCCCATATGGGCGCCGGTTTGAGACCCGGCTGCTCCACTTCCTGTCCAGTTCTCTGCTATGGCCCGGATTAGCAGTAGAAGATGACCCAAGTCCTTGGGCCCCTGCACCCACGTGGGAGACCCAGAAGAGGCTCCTGGCTCCTGGCTTCAGATCGGTGCAGCTCCGGCTGTTGAGGCCATCTGGGGAGTGAACCATTGGATGGAAGACCTCTCTCTCTGCCTCTCCTCTCTCTGTGTAACTCTGACTTTCAAATACATACATAAATCTTTTTAAATAATCTATTCTTTACCAATTTTGAAATATGCATCATTGTTAACTATGATTACCATTATTTTTATTATGCAATAACTAGGGTTTGCATATGTGTGTGCTTCTTTTTAGATGAAATTGTAAAAACTTGGGGTTGGCACTGTGGCGTAGCAGGTTAAGCCTCCACCTGAGGTGCCAGCATCCCATCTGGGTGCCAGTGGTTTGTGTCCCGGCTTCTCCACTTCTGATCCAGCTCCCTGCTATTGCACCTGGGAAAGCAGTGGAAGATGGCCCAAGTGCTTGAGCCCCTGAACCCACATGGGAGACCCAGATGAAGCTCCTGGCTCCTAGCTTCAGATTTGCCCAACCCTGATGGTTGTGGCCATTTGGAGAGTGTATCAGCAGATGGAGGATCTCTCTGTCTCTCCCTCTCTCTCTGTAACTCTACCTCTCAAGTAAATAAATAAATCTTAAAAAAAAAAATGGGGCTGACACTGTGGTATAGTGGGGAAAGCTGCTGCCTGCAGTGCTGGCATCCCATATGGGCGCCTGTTCAAGTCCTGCTGTTCCACTTCCAATCCAGCCCTCTGTTATGGCCTGGGAAAGCAGTAGAAGATGGCCCAGGTCTTTAGTCCCCTGCACCCACGTGGGAGACCAGGAAGAAGCTCCTGGCTCCTGGCTTCAGATCAGCACAGGTCCAGCTGTTGCAGCCAACTGGGAGTGAACCAGCAGATGGATGACCAATCTTTCTCTATGCCTCTCCTTCTCTCTGTGTGTAACTCTGACCTTCAAATAAATAAATAAATCTAAAAAAAAAAAGTACGCTGCTGGATTTAGTAAAAGACTAGAAATAAGGCCTGATCTCCTCTTCAAAACAAGCAAAAATCGCCCCTTCCCTCAAGCTTCCAGAGCTGTGGGAATGACTCCTCCTGTCTGGCAAAAGTGGCAACAGCCTGGCCCCTGTGCAGATACAGTAAAGATCCCTGATTTCTGAAGGGGCTTTAGGAAGTACATCCGGGTTCTCAGCTCCTCAGTCTAGACCAGGTCTGACCCTGACTCTTGGCCACAGTCCTGGCCCTGGCAGCTTACTGACTTGAAATGAGTTGGAAGGGAGAATTGGCTGGAAGACAGAGCAAAGGGAACATTCTGAGAAATTGTTTGGGCTGGCGCAGACATGGAGTGAACAGAAAACACATGGGTACCTGACTCACCGCTCCCCTACCTCCCTCCCCGGTACCAGCTCACCAACACACCCCACAAAACCGTGGTCTAGGCCTAGGAGGAGGAGGAAAGGCAGTGAGTTTCCCTCTTTGACTGCAACTGGACTTGCCCAGAGCACAAGGACCACCCAGAATAATCCTTCACTTTTCTTTTTCTATCTCTAGAGAAATCATTCAGCCTGGAGATACAGAAATAGAGTACCAGCTTCTATGAAAATAAAGCCACAGTTCATCTTGTGGCGTACTACAAAAGGCTTGTCAAAATCTCAGGCTTACCAACTCTATCTTGGTGGAACAGACCTCTCCTCTTGTTTTGTTTGTGCTTTATTTTGTTTTGTTTTTGCTTAAGGCATTAAGGGCCCCTGTGAAAATGATAATATGAGGTTACTTCAAAAAGTATGTGGAAAAATGGGGCAGGTGCTGTGGTGCAGTGGGATAAGCTGTCACTTTGGACACGTGCATCCCATATAGGAGAGCCAATTCAAGTCCCAGCTGTAGCGCTTCCAGTCACGCTCCCTGCTAATGCACCTGGGAAGGCAGCAAAAGATGGCCCAAGTACTTGGCACCTTGCCACCCATATGGGAGACTCAAAAGGAGTCCCAGGATCCTGGTTTCAGCCTGGCCCAACCCTGACTACTGGGAGCATTCAGAGAATAAACCAGAAACCAGAGTATGGAAGATTCTCTCTCTCTCTCTCTCTCTCTCTCTCTCTCTCACTATGCCTTTCAAATAACTGAGTAAATAAAAAAAAATTTAAGTCTGCATAAAATGGAATTAAAAGCTAATTTATTTTGGTGCAAAAAATTTTTGAAATTCCTACATAGTTTTTTCATAATATGCATTTTCCACGAACTTTCTGAAGACTTTACGTCCAACAGAGTGACAAGCACAATGAAGGACGAATCACAAGGGAGAAAGACTAGAAACGTGGATACCTGGTCTGACACAGCTCAGGACTCATCTGCTGAGGACCTGAAGGAAGGCAGTTGAGAGTGAGCGTGGGAAAATGAGCATTTGAGTTTATCTTGGAAGAGTGGGTCTCACTCGCCAGTGGGTCTTCCTCACATCCACCTTTCCTTTTATTGCTTCTTTATAGCTTGGACTGCTTGCCGAGCTGCTAAAGGAGAAATAAACTGTGGGTAGTTACTTTGTCCGTTGGAGTTGGAGCTGGTGCTACAGGTAATTCCCATTGCTGTTTTGTTATTCCACAATGAATATACCGGCTGCCTGACCATGTTTACCAAAAGTACAACTTCAAATCATGTCTCCTCTTCTTTTTTTTTTTTTTAATGTATGTATTTATCTATTTGAAACACAGAGTGACAGAAAGGTGGAGGAGGAGAGAGAAAGGCTTCCATTTGCTGCTTCACTCTCCAAATGTCTGCCATGGACGGGGCTGATCCAGGCTGAAGCCAGGAGCCTGGAACTCCGTCCGGATCTCCCACATGGGAGGAAGGGGCCCAAATACTTGGACCATCTTCCACTGCTTTCCCAGATGCACAGCAAGAAGCTGGATTGGATGTGGAGCAGGCAGGACTTGAACCCAAGCTCTGACATGGTATGCTGGTGTTGTAGGCGGCAGCTTAGCTCACTGTACCAAAACACCAGCTCTCTATATCTCCCCCAACTTTTTTTAAGATTTATTTATTGGGGCCGGCGCTGTGGCTTAGCAGGTAAAGTCACCGCCTTCGGTGCCAGCATCCCATATGGGCGCCAGTTTGAGACCCGGCTGCTCCACTTCCGATCCAGCTCTCTGCTATGGCCTGGGAAAGCAGTGGAGGATGGCCCAAGTCCTTGGGCCCCTGCACCCACGTGCGAGACCTGGAGGAAGCTCGTGGCTCCTGGCTTCGGATTAGCACAGCTCTGGGCATTGCGGCCATCTGAGGAGTGAACCAGTGG